AAAAGAGTCATTCAGACACCCCTGCACATGACAACACACTCATATATATATATATATATATATATATATATATATATATAGTTAGCATCATACATCAGGCGTTTCATACAGTATGATATAGTGAGAATATGGAGCTCAGAAACGGGTCAGTTTGGTGCAGATGCTGATATTTCTGTCGACAATATAAACATTGTTATGATTTGTATTACTTGCATGAACGCATGCCTTTTAATTGCTGTTCTGTGGAATGAAGCGGTTTTAAAAAAAAATGTTGTCATTAAGTGAAGCCAATTAAATACAAAGGCAATTTGTGTTACTTAATGAAAACAACTCTTGTGCTGTGATGTAGATACAACAATTCATGCATTATTTCACTTCCGAAAAGTCTTCTTGACTGCATCAAGATCACAAAGAAATGCCGAGTCATATTTGTCTCCAAAATCAAAAGAAAAACACGAGGTATAATTTGCATAAACTAAACCAAGTCATGAAAATCATCCCATTTGGATGCCATTTTTTAAATGAAAATCAGCATGAATTAAATTCAGTTTTCAACAAAGACTAGCGTAATGTATTTTTATATATGAATGTACTTTCCTTGCAATTAAAATGTATTTTTTAATTATAGTAATTAGATTTTTTTTTTTTTTTTTGCATTTCAGTAACAAGATTGTGAAGGAAATGTGCTTAATTTCCTGGAAATGAATGTGCATATATATATATAAACAAATCTTAACGTTCCATTTGTCTTGAAACAAATGTTTTTTGGGATCAAATATGACACGACCAGGATTCTTTTCTTTCTTTGAGATTTATTTAGATATGGACATGTTAATGTATCTTAAATATAAGTGTGTAAAATATTGTTCTGTGTGTCCAGCAGCCCCTCCACCGACATCAGTGAAGCATGTGAGAGGACGTCCCGCCGTGAGCCACACACATCATCATCATCTTCAGACAGACAGGAAGTGCCGCCCATCAGCTGACCGACACACAGCGACGTCCAGGCCTTAGTTCAAACGATTCATTTGTAGTGATTATTATTTATATTCCTATTGTTCTCTTGAGTTTTCCTGAAGCATCTGTAGATCCCAGAGTTGAGTTGTGTTTGATTGGGTGTGCAGACGCGTCTGAGGTGCTATCAATCCCTCGCTGATGTACATTACAGCACCCAGACTCGCTGTCAACAGGAAGTGGAGCATAAAGCCCATAAACCCACTTGTTTTATTCAGACTGCCGAGGGTTGCGTTCATCGTTCGCTTGTTTTTATATGGATTTTAATCAATCGCTCCCGGTTTTATCTTGGTGTTGGTCGATGGGATTTTTAGTACTCATATCTTTTGCACTGTACGACACCCACGATCGTTTCTTTTTTGATATCAGACGATTTATGTACAAACAATGTACAACTATAAACATTCAATAAGGTGGCACCGTACTGCTGCCGATGGACAGGATTTGTAAATGATCTGTATGTTGGATAGTCCGCAATAGCCACCACACTGTTTCCCGACACACTCATGAATGTTCCAGCTTATGTTTTATTTTTCTATGGCTGAGATATATTTAACTAGAGAGACGAGTACAGAGTATTAGAGTTTTAAGAAGCGTATTCCAGAGGTCGGCTGTAGTTTGAGGAGAACAGCACACGAGGAGCAAGCGTTTAAAACAGTTGATCAAGCAATAAGCAGGATTTGGTGTTCAACTTTGATGTATAAACTGTAAAGTTCATGATGTATATACTGTACACCATACAATGAGCAGAGCAGAGACGCAGAAGAGGTTATGTATCAGAGTCAATATGCAAATGTTCATATTTCATCTGTTTTATATCATGTGAAATAAATGTTGATGTTCTTATATATACAAAAAGCTTTTGAATCCTTTTTTCCATCTGATTATTGGAGTTCACACCTCCAATAATCAGATAGTTTCAAGCACTACTGTTTATTAATGAATTTAAAATATATATATTTATATGTGTGTGTGTGTGTATATATATACTGTACATATATATATATACATACATTAAATTTGATTGACAAGCAAGTTTTATATAGTTTAATTTTATAAAATATATTATAATGCACTTATGTACATCTATACATTAAAAAATTAATTATACATAAATTATTGATATATATTCATTATTAAATTTATAATAGACATTTTGGTTAACTTAAAATTATGAAAAGTATATAATTTTTATATAACAAAATTTTAAAAGTCTATATAAATTGTATATAATTGTGACATACATAATTTTTTGTAATCATTTTGTACTGCTATATAAAAAAATATGTACTTTAGGTGTATACTGTGTGTGTAAGCATTTCAATTAACTTTAAAATATATAAAAAACAAATTGTATTAATATTCTAAAGTACACCTATGTTAAAATATATAATAAATTTATATAGAAATTATGTATTTTCTATATGCATTTTGATTAACTTGATTTTATAAAAAAAAAAAAAAATTATAACAAAAGTAGAAAAAAATATTAGAATGCGCTTTATTTTATTTACTACATTTACTTTTTATTTTGATTCGCTTAATTTTATAATTTGATATAGGAAAAAAACATAATAGTACAATGTACTTTAGGTATAATTTTGTTGTATATATATATATATATATACACACACACATCCAGGTGTCAGCTACAATGCACACCTTTTAGATTTTTGATATTTATTGAAATAAACAGTCAAATCATCTGTAAAATTGCTATTTTCACTACTGTAAATGGGTTCATACACAAAATATGTCATCATTTAAAGCTCAACAACATTTGAAGAGAATCATTTACAGTCATAAAACAAACTGTAAAAGGCAACTTTATGCCGGACAGGAATTCTTTGTTTTCAAGATACCATCAGGTACTCAAGTGTGACCAGTGTTTACATTGACATTTATTAATGCATTCATCTCCTGCAGAGAAACGTAGTTAACTCGACACTGAATCAGGGGTGCTGTCACCATCTGCTGGTTTGAGGAGCACAGTGAAGACCCCAGAAACAGGAAACTCACGCCGTCTAGTGCTGCTTTCCAGGAAGAGGCGTTTTAAAGGCCAGAAAGGTTCATCTGACTCATTTTATTTTCAGTTTTGAACTAGATTCGTGTGATAATGCATCTGTAAATTATGACTCTGGAAACCCCCCACCACCTGAGACACGAGAAAAGCTGCAGAGAAAACCTTCTAACCCTAACAGAAAAAGGTTTATTTATTTATACATGCATAACAATAAACCTATGCTGTACTCTATATAGCCTATGTTATAGCAATAGGCAAATATTTCTACAAACATTTTTATTGAATACCACGTGGTGTGTAACTATCAAATACCTCAATCGTGAATACATGCGGGTGAACAACTTAAACATTATTTTAAATAAAAGGAAATATAAAATATGTAGCATATTTAACAAGTAGAATCGCTTTATTTATTGTGTTTTAGGAAATAATAATAATAATAATACAAATGTTAAATGCCAACATGTTTTATCAAGATTGTCAGTCTTTTAATAAACGTTTTTACACCACTTTTTAAATGTAATTCGATAAATACCTGCTTCAGAGTCTCTCAAGTATGATTTAATAAATGTTTAATATTAGAATTCAGACAGATTTTCGAAGAAACTTTCCCAAGTAACTAAGTTATTTCGTATTTGCATACTAAATATATATTTAGTGTTGTATGTATTTGACTTCTTAAAGAGATGGAAATAAATGAATATTAAATGAGTTTGACTTCTGAATGAGCATAGTGTCATTTCGCCATTTGGGTTTTGTAATGGAAACTTCTCGACTTGATCTTGCATATTCAGGGTTGCGAGCATAGTTGCCAAGTCCGCGTATTATACGCGACTTTGGGCTTCTTGTTTTGTAAAGTTGCGTGAAAAAATCCCGGGTTGTGTTTTTTTGGGGGCTTATTTTAAAAAATATGGTTTCTTGTTGGGGAAATCTGACAAGCAACTTAGTTTCTTTATTTATGTTCGGCGTATTCTCCAATGCATTGGTTGCCACTCTGTCTGCTCGCAGTTAATAGCCAACCAGTGCAATAATAGAAGTGCTGCAGCTTGATTAGCCTCATTGGAGAAAATCAGGGTCAGAAAGAAGGCGCGTGACGCTGTAACCCAAGCCATGACAGAGGAGACGTTCATTTTTACAATGTTTTTGTAATGTATTAATTATCATGGGCTGTAATAAAAGCAAGTCGTCCTATACTAAAACTATATACCCCATGCATTTGGTTCGAATAGCCTATATTTTAGTAGGCTATATTACAGCTCTTGTGTTCTGCTCAACAGGTGACTGGAGATGAGTTTTTTTGTTCTCACATTTGTTGCCGATTTGTGTCAAATAACATATCTGTTTTTGCTTTTCAGGTAAAAGAGGGGTTTCAGTTTAATATGTTGCAGGTTCATTTATTGGTGATAAATAATAAAAAAAAAAAAACATTGGGCTTGTTTGTTAAGCCGCGGTTGCTTCTTTATCTTGCGAGAGTTGGCAACAGTGGTTGCGAGCACGTGGAGGCATTCATAATAAGCGTCGACGTCACGCTGGCTCCTCCCCCCGCTGCTCCAGATCAGCCTCCAGCGGTTCCACGGCGCGTCCTGTCGCTGAAAGTCTCCGCGTTTCACCCGTTTCCCGTCGCGTAAACCCGGCCAGACCGCGCGCACACGAGCGGAACCCGATGGCTTCGACGGCTTCCGACGGTTCCGAGCAAGAGTCGCCGAATCCGAGCGAACAAAACGGCGACGGGAGTGAGTCGGGCCTACGCGCCGCCGATCCGGAACCGGCCGTTAAGATGGAGACGCACGAGAAGCCCAACGGACACGAGACTACAAAACAAAGCCCGGAGGAAGCCACGCGGGGAGACGGCGAGACCGAAGCGGAGCCGCAGAAGAGCCCCGGCAGCGCGGACGGGACGGCGGAGCGGATGAAGAGAGAACAAAGGGAGGAGGAGAGCGCGCCCTCACCGGCGGAGAAAAACAGCGGCGGCGGCGGCGGCGGAGGAATAAAGAGGCGCGCGAGTCTGGAGATGATGAGCCTGTCGTCGGACGGAGAGCCGCTCAGCCGCATGGACTCAGAGGACAGGTGCGTGAGGACAAATCTGCCGTTTGTTATCAGCTCTGTTGCTAAATGACTCGTTTATGTGCTGTTTTTATAATCACTCGACTCTCTCAAGCGACAAATGTGCAGACCGAGCCCACAACAAAGATCATTTAGATCAGAAAACTACTTTAAAAGTGGTAGCAATAGCAATAATTCCTGTAATATTCGTGAGGCATGTTGTGTAGATTTGTGGTCGTTTGTTTACTGTTGACCTAGTTATTCTGGCGAAAAGCAGAAGTGAAACAAATCATATCTGTTCTGCTGATACTTAGTGTAACCTTAAAAAAAAGAAAAATAGTATTCGTAATGCTTAATTAGTTTGGTCAAAAAGCAGAAATTAAATGATATCTGTTCTGAAAATACATGGTTTAACCATAAAAATGTTGTTGCATATGTTGTTTAGTCTTAAAGGGGTCATATGATGCTTTTTTTAAAGATCATTATTTGGTGTAACAGAATATGTTGACATGCTTTAATGTTCAAAAAACATAATATTTTTCAAGTACTGTACATTATTGTAGGTCCTCTATGCCCCGCCTCTCTCAAACACTTCGTTTTCTACAAAGCCCCGCCTTCCGACAAGCGCAGCCTGCTCTGATTGGCCAGCTGACCCAGTGCATTGTGATTGGCCGAACAGCGCAAGCACTCATCGGAAATGTAACGCCCCTTACCATAATCGCAAGCTTCATCTTTCAAAATAAATGTAAAGACAGCCTGAAAGGGGAACAGAGTCGCGTGACAGACACAGTGATGAAGCTGGTATGTGTGTGCAGTACACAAGCCACGGTTAAGACAGCTGACTCCACTGTGAGTGACCCCCTTCTCTCTCTCTCTCGCTCTCTCTCTCTCTCTCTCGCGCGCACACACACACACATACAAGCAGTCAGATATATGAACTGAACCTTTAATTTTACCTGCTCAAAAAAAACATGCTTCTTGAATGTATAATTTTTGTCTGAGCTGGGTCCACCTTGGCACTCACAGGCGTTAACAGCTCAGGGTGAAAACGGCTGACATGGTTTCTCAAGTTAGTGGTATTACCATAGATATATATATATATATATATACAGTATACGTAGATGCCTCATTAGCGACTGTTTCTATGGGCCGCAATACATAAGCCATCTGCCATTTTTGGAAAGGTCTGCGAACCCTCGAGCACAAGTTGACTGTGTGCGTCTACAACAGCAAGTTATATGCATGTAT